TTCGGTGACTTCCGTGGCTGGCGGCCGATTTCCCTGCCTCCCTGGCCGCGTTCTGCAGAGCGCATGGTTGGAGCTATGCCCTAGAGGGGAGCAACCCGGGAGGGGACCGAGGGTGAGAGTGGCACGGGGGTATGGTCATCACCGGTCACCCCCAGAGCTGCCTCAGTGGTCCCTGATGTCCACCTTCGGGCAGGGTCTGTACCCACCCCCACTCCGGACGAAGTAGCCTTCACGCCGCCCCACACACCCACACCCTCGCCGGGAGGAGATCTCCTGATCTCCCCGCCCAGGTCCTTGCTGCATCCCTGCGGTCCACCTGGTTCTGTGCAGGCTGCTGAGCCTGGGAGGGGACCCGGTCATCTGCCCAGCCCACAACCCCAGATAGCACGGGGCCAGGCCTGCTGTGGCTGCCTTTGGTCCCCAGGAGTCCCTGGCTGAGAAGAGGGAGAGAGGAGCACACCCACTTCCACTACACACGCACACGCACACACGTTCAGGGTGCCTGGTGGGCAGTGCATAGGGCCTCACCCCACGGAGCCCAGTGCAGACAGAGCCCAACCTGGGGTCCTGAGGTGACTAGGACTCAGGAATCCTGGGGTTCCCCTCCAGCAGCAGCTTGAGGACACCCTGTGCCCAGAACCACAGCCCCTCAGGTTTCTGAGAGTCAGCAACAAGCAGGACATATCGGGCCTGGGCTGGTCAGGAAGGTCCCGAGGTGGCCAGGGAGCGTGAACCAAGCCTGCCCTTCACTGCCTTGCTGGCTGGCCCTGGGGAAGTCACCCCTGAAGTTGTCCTCCCTGAAATGATGAGGAGCCCCTTGCCCAGGGTACCCAAGGCACAGACACAGGTAGCTGCAGGGCCACGTGCTTTATTGGTGGGGTGGGGCTGGGCGCACTGGACGGCAGTGGGCGGCAGCTGCCAGGGCTCTCCCATGGGCACAGCTACCTTTTGGAAGGTCTGGTGGTAGGGACAGTCCTGTGCCCTGGGAGGATGGCCCAGTGCCCCTGTGCCCCTAGGCTGTGGAGAGCCGAGCAGACTGGCAGCGATGGAGCCCACCTGGGGCCGAGGTGTGGGGCAGGTGCCAGCCCAGGAAGCCCAGCACGTCGTCTTCGGCGCTCTTCCCGTACCTGGGGGACGAGGCTGGGTGGGTGCCGTGCCCGGTGCCGGTTCATTGCCCATTTGCCTTGGGTGCCATCCTTGCTGCCCAGGGGTGCCCTCGGGGCAGGGCGGGGTGGTGACCAGAACCCTGGGAGCCGGGGCCCATGCCCACCTGGGCCGGGTCAGCATGTTGATGTATCTCCGCATCTCGGTCGCGTACTGGGCCATCTGCTGTGGCGTGGCGGCATCCCCAGGATACACAGGCTCCCGTGGGGCTCCCTGAGCACCCGGCAGCAGCAGAGCTACACAGGTGCCCAGCAGCAGCAGCAACAGGCAGCGGTGGGTGGCAGTCATCTGAGGGACAGACGGGCAGTTGGCCCTGAGCCGCCCTACCTCGGGGGTGGGGAAAGCACGGGGTCCCGGGCCCCTAGCCCCTTCGTCTGCAAGAGAGCAAGTCCTGCCAGCCCCCAGGGCTCCGCACACCCGCGGGGTGGCACAGGAGGATCTGGGGAGCAGAGGGCGGCTGCTGAGGCTGAGCATTGCGCCCCAGGAAGGACCGAGGCCCACGCCTGCTACAGAGTCCAGGCAGGCCGGGCCCACTCACCCTGAGTCCTGAGCAGCAGGCTCCTCACCAAGGTGTATGGGCCCCCCGCTTTATAGTCCTCAACCCCCTGAGTCCCCGCCCCACACCTCTCTCACCCCCAGCACAAGCCCTCTCTGCTTCCTGTCTCCCTGGTTCCTGCAGCACCAGTGCCATGGAGGGTCGGGGATGGGCGGGGCCAGGAGTACTCGGTGCCCAGCCAGCCGCTAATGGGTGAAGGGGAGTGCACGCCTGCCCTGGGCACAGAGTGTGCTCGGCCCTTCCACTCAGCGGGGGAGCAAGCACCCCCGGGTCCCTGGAGCAGGCAGGAAAGCAGGGACCCTGCAGGCTCAGGATGAAGCTCTGGAGGTGATTCTGGTCGAGGCCCTGGGAGAGTGGCTCACTCAGCACTCAGCAGCCCAGCTCCTTGGATGAGTCCACAGTGGAGAAAACGGGGCACAGGTGCGGGGGTGCCAGGGTACCAGTGCTGCCTCTCCCACCAGTGTCAGGTAAGGCTGTTTCCCATGGTGCTCCCCACTCAGGCCCCTCCCTGAGCCCTGCAGCAGCCCAGCTCTTAGCCCCAGTCAGCTTGGACGGACACAGTGACCCGACCTGGACCACAAGCTGGTCCTGGGATACCCAGGGTTGGAAATAAAGTCTAATCTAGAACTTTGGACCCTTCTCATCTAAGCAGTGTCAGGTGTCACTGTGTGCACTGTTCCTTGACTTAGAGATGAGCGCCCCATCAGGCAGGATGTGGGGCACACACCTGTGATCCCAGCATTCTGGGAGGCTGAGGCAGGAGGGCTGCAAGTTCAAGCCCTGCCTCACAACTTAGTGATTTAGTGGGAGCCTTTCTCAAAATCAAAAATGAAAGGGGCTGGGACTGTAGCTCAGTGGTGAGCATCTGCCTGACACATGTCAGGTGCCACACCTAGTCCTGCAGGGGAAGTGAAGAAAGAAACAGGAGGCCCCCAAAGTTGCCCGTTTGTCCAGATCTCCCCGCCACCTCAGTTTCCCCTCTGCACTTTTCCCCCCCCTGGGTGCATGGCTCAGGCCGTATCAGCCCCTGGCTGCGGGAACAGAGGGCCCTGACCCAGAGGTCCGGCCATCCTGGAGCTGAGCCAGAGGTAGGGAGGGCAGCATACACAGAGTCCGGGTAGGGTTACCCAGACCCTGCCTCGGTGCCTGGCACAGGACAGCCCACCTGCTGTAGCTCCTGCCCACGCGGACAGGCTGTGGGTCCGGGTGAGTCTGGCCCTTCCCCTGGGTTTGTGCCCTGAGCGAGGCAGAGTCCACCAGGGGGCGCTGGGCCCGTCTTAGACCTGCGGCTACCTGTGTCCAGGCCACCCTGGTGTCAGGACTGTTTGTGCTCTGTGCTGCCTCACAGGCCACTGCTGCAGACAGCAGCATCCAGGTCCCCTGGGTGATGTCCAGCGATGGTGGATGGAGAGGCTTCCCCTCTCCCTGCCCCTCGGATTCGCCCCAAGACCTTTGTAAATATCTTCACTCTGAAACAGGATCTCACTAAGTCACTATGGTGCCTGGGCTGAGCTTGAACGCGTGCCCTCCTGCCTCAGCCTCCAAGGTGCTGGGATGACTGGCACCTTGCCAGCTGGGGCTGTGCATCCTGCACAGTCTGGCCACCTCCAAAAGAGTGGTGGCCCTGGCCTGTCTGTGAGGCGCCTCTCGGGCAGGCGCCCGCATGTGCTGAGTGACCGGGAAGTGGCCACTTCAACCTCTGGGCCTACAGTGGAGCTGGATCAGACACAGCACACAGTGCCACAGCCTGCCATGTCCTGAGAGCCATCGTGGGCCTCACAGTGGAGATGCCTGCTCCACAGCCTGGTGCTGACAGTCCTCCGGAGCTGCTGCTGTCCAGGCCAGGCAACACAGCCCCAGGGAGACCCGGAATGCCGGTGGGGCTACATGAAGCAGGCAAGAGAGCTGAGGGGTCCCCATCATCTACCTTGGTGGCACCCAGGTGGCTGTGTCCCTGGGACGGAGAGAGTGGAAGGGAAGTGCAGGTCTGAGAGGCTCAAGGCTGGGAAGGAGGCCAGAAACTGCTCCTGAAGGACATGGACACTGAGGCTGAGGAGGGAAAGGAGCCAGGTTCAGTGCTGTGCACGTGATCCTAGAACTTGGGAGGCTGAGGCAGAAAGAGTCCCACAAGATCAAGGCCGGCCTGAGCTACATAGAGAGTTCAAGGCTAGTTGGGGCTATATAGTGAGACCCTGGATGAAAAAAAACCAAAACATAAAAATGGGAAGGAGAGGCCATGGTTGCTGTGACCTAGCTGCCACTGTCACCCAGGACTGTGCCTCGTGTCCTTCCCAGGCTGCCACAGCCTAGCGGGGAGGCCACAGGCTCCTGGGGTGGCTGAGGTCCTGCAGATCACGGGCGGAGGTCACCGGTGCTGTATCCTGTCCAGCTTGGTTGTCTCCACTGGCTGGGGCCTGGCCTCACCCGGGTGAGGACCAACTCCAAGTGGGCACAGCAGTGGTTGGGCCAGGTGGCACCCACACAGCCCTCGTCCACCCCTCTGAGCTGCTCTGGCCCAGCCAGGGGCCGCGCCTCTTCCGCCCAAACCCACTGTGGCTGCCGTCCTCCCAAGAAGAGCTGTGGGCCCAGAAGCCAACACACACAGAAGCTGGAAGTGAAGAGCGGGAGACTGCGTGCCAGGGGTGGCTGGGACAGGTCTGCCCGTCTGGGGCCCTGGCTGCTGACGCCTCAATCAGAGCTGTCCCGAGATCCCAGCTGCCTTTTTCTGGCAGCCGCAGAAAATTGTCAGGTTAACTCTGTATCCTCTGCCTTTGTGTATTTTGATAGAAACCACATTTATGTAACTTCTGTTACTGAATATTGTTATGATTGTTCTGCCAGTTATTGCTGTCCATCTTCTGTACTTATTTTCCATGCGAGGGATCAAACTCAGGACCTGTGCTAGTCAGGCAGGTGCCTCACCACTGAACACATCCTAGATTTCTGAGACTTGGTCTTGAGATGTAATTCAGGCTAGCCCTGAACTCACTACGTAGCCCAGGTTGGCCTTGAACTCACAGCCATCCTCCTGCCTCGGCCTCCCGAGTTCTGGGATCCCAGGTGTGCACACCACGCCCAGCCTGTGCCTGACTTTTAAATTAAACTTTCTCGTGGATGGGTGTTGGGAGATGGAATGTACACTTCATACAGCACCCCTGGGGAAAGAGTGACCGAACCCTGGTGCAGCTCCTGCTGGCCCTCTAGGGACACACTCGGGACCCTGTACACCCTGTCAGCTCCCTGGTGGGGGCAGGCCCTGGCGACCTCTGACTGCCTGCCTGGGGCTCCACAGCCCAGCCCGTGCTACCCAACACAAACCCAGAAATCGCCCAGGATGCGATGGTCGTTTCCAGCTGCACGTCTCAGGGCCTCGTGTTAGGCGGGAGAGTAATGGTGCCCACCCTTGGCTCCTTTGGCCAGAGCCCCCAATGCCACCAGTTTCGAGGTGCAGAGGCAACAGTTCCGCCTGTTACCGAGGCCTGTGGGTAAACTGCCACGGTGACCGCCGAGTTCCCTTCGGTGGAGTCCGACTGGCCATGTCACCTGGTGTCCCTTCCTCCCAGCCCCCTTCGAATAGCCTTGCGCTGACCAGGGTCCTGGGCAGCTGACAGCCAGGGGACGGGAGATGGGGACCAAGGGGCCTGGCTTAGCTCAGTGTAGGGGGCGCAGGAGACCCACCACGCCCGTTCCCTGGGCCAAAGGGGCACCTGGCCGACCCTCGCGTCAGCAAGGTTTGATACCAAACTACCAGTGCAGCCCTGAGACCGGACCCAACCGCAAGTCGCACCACGCCACAGGAAAGCGAAAGTGGAGACAGCTTCATTACAGGGTCCAGCGGTAAGGACGGGACGAGGAAAGTGCGACAGACAGACAGACAGACAACATCACCAGCCGGGAAAATCCCCACAGCGCCGCCTCTCTGCTGGCGCCACGTGGCAGAGGTTTGTGTCTCCACGGAGCCTGCTCTGACCAGCCTAGGAGCCAGAGTCCCGGTGCCAAGTACTTCGGATGGCGCGCTTACCCCTCAAGGGCCGGCGGACAGGTCACCTCGGACCCGTGCACCCGAGTGACTCCTGTGCCCCCCTCACTGCTCACCTGCCCGCTTCCCGCCCCACCTGGGCCCTGAGGGCCTGGGGCGGGGCTGGCGCTGGTGTCCC